ATTTCACCGTGTGCATGAGGGGCTCGCAATTTGTGTAACTATGCCAATAACAAGTGCCTCTTTCGACGTTCAGCCAAGGTGACTTTTAGTCTACAACTGGTTATTCCCCCCCCCCCCCCCTTTTTGGAACAGCCCTGCCAGGATATATTTTATCGTCGAACCCAGCTGCACCCTGCTATATTCAACTTTGCAGCCCCGGATTGAAATGAACTCTGGCACTCGTTCGATGAATTTATCTGTGCTGCTCATTGCTCCCGTTTTGTCGGTGAGCCAAGGAGAAGTGGTTTTACGTTCATTAATATGCATAACGTTTTCTGTAATACGATAAAAAGAAAAGCACTCGTTTAGAGCAAATTGTTAGGCGGAAATAGTTCTGGCTTTAAGAAATGAAAATTACGCCTCAAATTAGGTTATAAAATGTATTGGGAGTTTGCGATTCGTCATGATCTTGTCGTAAGCATGCTGGGGCACTGTTTATGTGCGAGCCTTGTAACGCTATAAAGCGACGATACGAAGCTAAATGTGTAGCAGCTACTGTATACGCATGTTCGAATATAACCCTGTATGCAGTTACAACCATCCATCCATCGTTCGCTGGTAAATGAATCAAACAAGGAGACCAGTTGGTGTTATTCACGTGAAGTAGCAACAGCTATCACCGGTTTGGTTGGTTCTTCTTGTATGGAAATGGGGTAGTGATCAGTGTAATACTATTTATAAACGGTTATGTTTATAAATAACTTAAAAGTTGGCAGTCTCGTATCTAAACTCTATGGCTGGGTGATCATGGAAATGTGCATAACTTGAGATACCTTTCAGATATATAGATTAAAAAGCTGGTCACTTAACATAACTGCTTGACGAACAATAAATACATGGTTTGTCAGATTTTAACACCGACCTGCTCCAGACAAATATCCACCAGTCTTGAGTTCCACGTCGACTAGAAGATTTATCTAAATTTAGCTGGTGTTGTGCTTTGCCCCCATGTCCATGAAAGGCGCATGATTGACTTCACTTAAACAGTCGTTTCGTATCTTTCCAATGGAAATCAAATGCCCACCAAAGTAACACAACTGCACTTTGCTGCTCAACGTTGTCTCGCGTTGCTCGGCAGGATGACCATGTCCTCTTCAAAGTGAATATACATTGGCTTTTGTGTTCACTCAAAGCACGATGTGTGTGCCCTTGATAACATTACAATACTGTGTAGGTGCCTGTCACAACACATTCGCCGAGCACACGTTACGGTACACGTAGACTAACTTGCATGTGCCGAGCATGGCTCAGCTTCAGAGCTGTGTCTTGCAGTCACATTGTGCTGTACATTCAAGCATGTGGAATTGGAAACGATGCATTTTACACCAGAGGTTATGTATTGACTTGGTAAAACCAGCTGTGGGTTGGTTAGTTTATGATGGTTTTGTTATGCAGAGCTGTGTGTTTGAGTGTGTACGGGCGCTGCTTGTCAAATCCAATTGCAGTTGTAATTGTGGTCACGAATTGGATAAATTCCTTCCTGGGACACTTGGTTAATTGGTTGCACTTTTCGATTCGGCATTTCTTCACTCTCCCTATTTTAATTTGCAGCACCAGTACTTGTGTCACCTTGACCAATGTGCACACACTTTTTTTTAATCGTTGATGAAAGTTGTTTCTGTAAAAAGACTTGATATCGCATATGTTGTCTGTTAAGATGCATTTTTATATTTGTTGTAAGTTGACAATTACCAAAAAAAGTGGCTAACAATGAGACAATGCACAATTAGTGTTTTGTATTATCCGTTAGTAGCCAAAATGTAAAAAAAAATCACATGATTATAACTGAGGAACGTGATTGGAATATTTTAAATTTGTCTTCCCACTTCAGTATATATCATTCAGTATATAAGTAAATTAAATGTCTTCAAAGATAGACCTGTAAAAAAGTGTTATTTTTGACAACACACAAATTGGTTATATGAAAAATATTATTTTATTAAAAATGGGATTTTTTTTATGGTATGCAATATCAATCTGTACAACCCCCACGATTGTGCGGCGTAATTATTTACATTTATGAAGTATAAATGTGATATTTTGTGTGTACTGTAGACATGTGTTCATGTAGGCATTGATGACATTTCGTCGGAGCCTCCTGAACAATGCGACGATAACGATACGAGCAGAATTGCTTTCTCTACAGAATTTGTGTAAAAGTTAGTTACCGTTTTTAAACGTTGAAATGATTTTTTGTTTGTTGCCTTATTGCGCCAATTGAGTGCTGAGTGCCCATACAGATATATTATTTGCTTCAGAAATATTTATTTAGAGAAAAAACGGTTAATGTGGATTAATAAAGGGTTTCTGAGGACTGTTATTTCAATCGTTGTTGTGTTGTGTTATTCTGCACTAATGTCCTTAACATTTTGTGCATATTTCTATTTAAAGCTTTCGTGACTGCAGCAGGGATTCATATTCTTGGTTCTTTCGGTTAGGTCACGTAGAAGGGAAATAATAAAAGAAAAAGAAAACAATAAAATTCTCACGACGTTTCGATTACAACATAAGCAATCATCACCAGGTGTGAAAACCACAGCAAGAACATTTTGAAGAAACCCACCACTTTTTTCTTAAAATTTCTTGCTGTGATTTTTACACATGATTGCTTGTGTTGCAATCGAAACGTGAGAATTGGTATCTTTTTATTTAATTATTTCCCTTCTACGTGACTTTACCAAAAGAACCAAGAATATGTTGTGCATAGTTTGCGTTGCATGGCCATAATCGTACTCCTATGGCTCGTCTTCAATCTTCCATTTATAGCCCACAACGCTTCAGTGGCCAGCAAAAAAATACCTGTACTGCACCGACGATATTGTCTTAGTTTAGATCTTAAGTTTTCGTGACTGCAATGTTCCATACTCTTTGGTTCTTTCGGTAAAGTCACGTAGGTATAAAATAAAAAAAACTTTTTATATTAAAAAAAATATTTTATAAAAAACTTTATTTTATATAAAAAAACTTTATTTTATTTTATACCTACGTGACTTTACCGAAAGAACCAAAGAGTATGATATTGTCTTATTGCTGTAGCCTTGATTGTAGTTTTAAGAGTTCCATATCGCTGCTTTTCCGCACAGAATCGTCCCAACGTTTTCAAATCACTGGGAACAGCTGCCTATGCTCCTTGTTCCTCGACCTGTGATGCAGAATCTTCATTTATTCTGGAGGAGGAATCCGATAAACTCTGAAGCTCTTTTTCACAGATGTCCAGTTCGGGATGGGTCAGCAAGTTACAACAACAACAGTACAACATTTACAGGAGTGCAAACTACAAATAAGGTAAACAAGTCACGAAATAATGCACTGTAATGCCATTCTCTCCCAAGTCATCAAGCAACATCCTCAAATTGCAACTGTTACAGAACAACCTTGATCGTGTCATTGGTGTCCATCTACGACTCGACTCATTGGCTCCCTTTTGCCAGCAGGACATTATAGAATCGTGCCTGCCTTTTGTCATCGCGTCTTCACACGTTCCCCCCACACCTCATTACTCTCGCCTTGCACTGGAGCTCATTGTAGAACCCGACGCAGCAGCAGCAGCAGCGCCACTCGAATCTGCTTCGGGCAGAGTGGTCTCGAACTGTTGCAGCCTCACGTCACTTCACGACACAACTATACACGACTATCCACTACACTCTACACTACATTATACACTAATATACACTCCACTATACTGTTACAGCCTCACGTTACTACCCCCTATGTGTGTAACTCTTGCCCTTTGCACGTCCGCAACATGTTGGAATCGATCTGCAGTCGGCGGTCTTGTACGGCCAGCAACTATGTCGCCTTATCTCGATCCCGCAATCCCAACCAGGTGAAAGTCCGCATCGAACCTAACCCCCAGCAAGGCCATCTACTTAACGACGAGAGAAAATTCACACGAAATGTCGTTTTCAATGAAGCCTTCCAGATGTAAAATTATATAAGCTTTGAATGACGAAATCAAATTATCTAATTATAAACATAATGCAATTCAAACATGTTTCATTTTAAAATTTCACAACGGAGCATTGGGTGTTTGCGTCGTTTGTGTGCAAATGTTTTTGTGGCTTTCCTGGCTGAAGGCCTGGGGGCCCCCAACCCCTAGTTAACTTATATTTCAGAAGCCACCTGGCCACAAATGATAGCTCAGCGAAGTGGTTTGTCGTGGACATTTCTAGCAGAAAACTAATCTTAATGGACGTTTCATTGAGATTATTTGAAAACACATCATACACGTGTCAAATCGCATCAACAACAACCACTACCACCAACTACTAACAACCACCACCAACCAAGCACCACCACTACTAACAACCGCCACCAACTATTAACCAACCACCATCGACCAACACCACTACTAACAACCACCAATCAACCACCACCAGAAATCCACCACCACCACTACTAACAACCACCAGCAACCACCACCACTACTAACCACCACCACCAATCACCACCACTAACAACTACCACTACTAACAACCACCAGCAACCATCACCACGACTAACCACCACCACTAACAACCACCACCACTAACAACCACCACCACTAACAACCACCACCACCATTACTAACCAGCACCACTACTAACAACCACCACTAACAACCACCAGCAACAACCACCACTATTAACCACCACCAATAATCACCGCCACTACTAACCACCAATCACCACCACTAACAAACACCACCACTATTAACCACCACCACCAATCACCACCACCAACAACCCAACCCCAAAACTCTGCCAACACGGACACGCCCCCTTTAAAACACGAGCGAGCCACGTGCGTTTAATTCCGTACGCTTGATAGGCGCCGCCTCGCCCTCCCATTGGCCCACGCGCCGCCCCCTCACCCAATCACGAGCTTCGACGCTCGACCAATGAGCGATGGCCGCACGCGGCCGGTGCCCCGCCCCCTCCGCCGGCCCGCCGCACGTATCCAAGCTACGGAATATAATCGTGATTTGGGGGTTGTCACCATTCTCGATCCTTCCTCTTCCTCATCCTCCGCTCCCTTTAATTGAATCAAAGCGGCGAAGTCTTTGCGGCGAACAACTGCCGCGTGGGTCGAGATGTCTGACGAGCCGGCGGCGGTGACGGAGGAGGCTGCGGCGCGCCAGTGGCTGCGCTGGGACAAGGTGCGTGGTGTAACAACTATCGGGCGCGGGGGGTGCGTGGGCGATGCCGTAGCCGGAGCGGGACATGGGAGGTAGGGGGCGGCGGTGGCGAAGCGCTCGAGTGGGGTCTGTCACGGTGTCGGCGTCTCTCCTCCACGAAGTGTTGACGGACAGGGCTACAGGTTCTCACCTTTGCCGTGACCTCTACAGGCGGGCAGACCCGGCGCACCTGGGACGTTGGTCCAAGGGTTACGACCGCGTAGCCCAACGTGGGGCCAAAGGTGGAACCGGGGGATACCCCCAAAGGTGGGACCTCCTCAATCGGTGGAACCCCCAAAGGTGGACCCCCCCAAACGGTGGGACCTCCCATCGGTGGGACCCCCCAAAGGTGGGACCCCCCAAAGGTGGGACCCCCCAAAGGTGGACCCCCCCAAACGGTGGAACCCCCCAAAGGTGGACCCCCCCAAACGGTGGGACTTCCCATCGGTGGAACCCCCCAAAGGTGGAACCCCCCAAAGGTGGGACCTCCCATCGGTTCCAACCGCGCAACCAACTTCGCGTGCGAATTGGCACGCAGGCAATTTAACCCGGAGAATCAACACGGAACACAACAGCTGGTCGATTGAAAATAAAAACTCTTTAATGTTCCAGCAATAACCGTACAATGTGGTAGTACATTGTTTGAAATGTAACTGTTGCACGTGTGATCGTCGTAAGCTAAGCAGGCGTTGATTGAACCCGCACACTGCCTGGTTGGGTTTGGGATGTTGCCGTGGGGCTGTCGGGGATTTGCATTGTCAGCAGCAACATCCATTGTGGTACTGAGCTTCCATGCTCTCTCACGTCTGTGTCTCACACCTTCACTAACGTGGTGAAGTATGGTCATGTAACCCCCACGACCCACAGTGTATCTCAGTCAACCCATAGCACTGGGACTCCCCTGTGACCCTTCTGCCAGCAGCGAACCTTCCACACTTCACGTTGCAGCCTCAAAGTGCACCTAGCCTGGTACAAGCGCTGTGGTGACATCACTGCCACTTAGTGATGAAAGGTGGCTGTTGTTGAGAGTTTAACACCACCGCCTACGGTTACTTAGTAACCAGCCTTGATATCACACGCTTGTGGTACAGTGCTTTGGAGGCTAGTGTTGGTGGATCACTTAAAATTACACCTTAATAGTCTAGATATTAAAATAAATAACATTTCAGCATTTTTATTAATCTGTAGAGATCACTAATTCTTTTTTACCTAAAACTTCATCAAAAAATGTTCAACTCATAATCTGCAATAAATCTCAAATAAATCTCAAATAAATTCATTTTCTGCTGCTTTGTATCACAAAGGCAGAATTTCCAAATTTACACAGAGAGAGCAAATGACCAGTTTGCTGTGAGAGACTTTGTGGCCTGAATAAGCTCATTAATATGGTCCTACGAGCATGCACACACTCGTTGTGTGCATGATGCCTTGATGCTTCAAGGCCATTGCTAAAATAGTCACCGTAAATCAATGCACAGTGCATCATTGTTGATTTTTTGCGACAGTGGGATGGAAATATTCGAACGCTTCTAAAGAATGGCACTGTTTTTACTGTGCTTAACAATGTATTTCCTTCATCAAAGAAAGGCAGAAATAAACATCTCACTGTTACGTCCCATGCATCTCAATTTATAACTTGTACATTGAAAAGGCAGTTCGTTAAGAATAAGGATGGAGTGGCAGCCGAGTAATGGAAGGGGAAATCCATCGGGTGAAGATGGAATGATAAAATATGATTTTGTGCAAGTGTGATTTTAGTGATGAATACAGTTTCTCAGAGGTGAAACTGCAATTGCTCTCTTGTCTGCTCATCAAGGGGCCTCCACTAAAGCAAGCTTGAGAGGGCATTTGGTTTTCTTTTCAATTCTGACCAGAAGTCTTGAAGGAAGGTGGGCTACCAACACTTTACCCGACTACACGTGACCTGCAGAGTGACTAACTGTGGTGTTGGGTTGACCAAGAGGTAGGGGAGGAGGGGGGTGGTGGTATCAGAAACCTACACCACAGTTTAAACTGCCGGGCCAGGAGATGGAATCGAACCGGTGACCTCTGGGTTCTAAGTCCAGTGTGCTCACCATATTCCAGGGCAGCTTCCCTTACGTTTCTGAGCAAGATGTGTTGTTGCTCGAGGCATTTCAGTACTTGCGGCAAACTGGTAACTGGTTTTTTTGTGTCACGCGGTTACCGATTTTACGACAAAACTAATAACAAGGAGCAAGCTGTTTGCTGGTAGCACACAGCGTGGTGCTCGATGGAACCATCTGCCGGGTTTTGCTCGAGTACAACAGTAATGCCGATCTGTGGCCATGATTGTGATGAAACCGTAATACTATATACCGTAGCCATCTCCATTTGGCACATGCCTAACTTTATGTGGGTTCATGGACAGTGTTGGGTTTTTATTTAGCAATGGGCCACCCCCACCAACAGACACGAGATGTAATGCGGCTCTCGTCTTTACCGCAGTCGCTCAGTCCCTTCACACCTCAATTCGGATGAATCTCCTTCCGTGTCTGCCAGGAAACGGCATCCTTTCCAATTGCACGACGGTTGCATTTTGGTTGCAGGAGCCTGTGCCCGGCCTCAGAGGGTTTGACGATGTTCTTGAGGGAGTGTTGACGCAGCGGAGAAAGACGCATTTGCACCGACTTTGCCTTCATTAAAACTCAGCTTCATGAAGCACAGTGTGTCCGTCAGAGGGGCGTATACAGTACGCGATGGTTTCTTGTTAAAACATTGACGCACGCTGGCGTATGGTATTGCAAATGCAGCTCTGAGTAAATATGGTTTCCGCCCATCCCCCCCCCCAGCATCCATAATGGGTTTGCTTACAAATATTTCTGCTTCCCAGAGAGCATTTCCAAATAAGCTGCTTTCGTGCGCACAGTGCATTCACGCCCATCCCATTATCGCCGAGGTAAAAGTGTGCTGTCGATTCCGCAGTTTGGTTATTTTTTTCACATAGGGCATTGATCGGAGTAGTTTCTAGTTGGTTTGTGTGCTAAGGGTGTTCTGGTGGTGTGTGCGGCCCATGACAGGAACTGCTTTGGAAGGCCCCCTTTAATATCATCGCGTCTCTGATATTGGACGGTTGGCTACGTGCAGTGCAAAAGAAGTTCAACGTACATAATAACTCCTAAACAGTCGTGCACTATTGTTAATATAGTATTTGGAAATTTAATTTAAGTAAAAAGAAGAAACCTCTCAAATTCGTTTCGCAATTTAATGGGAAAGCAGAATTCTTCTTGTTCGAGCTCCGCTGACGTGGTCAGGACATCACCGCAGGAACGGATGATGGCCGAAGGCGGACAGACGACACTGCTGACGGAGTGGCAGGCGACGGGGGAGAGTATGTACGGGGAAGGGGAAGACAATCGCGGAGATGGAGCAATGGTATCCGTTCATGTGCGGGAGTGAGATAGCTGCTAAAAGCACGAGACCGCGAGGCGTGGCGATGCCGTGGTCAAATCCTTCATCCGGCAGTGGATAAACAGAGTCTAATGCTGTTGAAAACCCAATGTGTGAAAGGTGTCGTTTAATTTTGAATGTCATTTATTTAATATCCTTCCCTATTTATGGGAATGGCATTAAAAAAATGCTATGGGCATATCACCGTCCTGGCCAACATCTGGGCCCGGCTCTGGGAGGCGCTGATGAGCGCGCGTATTTTGTTTTGTGCAGAACGAGAAGACGAGAGCAACGGTGGAGAAGCTGCTGGAGGATGGAGCGGTGTCGGAACTGCGGGAGAGGCTGGGCAGCCGTATGGAGTTTGGCACGGCAGGGCTGCGTGCCGCCATGGGAGCGGGAAGCTCGTGCATGAACGACCTCACCGTCATCCAGACCACGCAGGTGCCCCCCCCCCCCCACCCGCTACCCGCCCCCACGTGGGTGTCCATGTAGCCACATTGCTGGATGTTGTCTGTTGGTGTGTCCTGGTGCAGTGTGTGTGTGTCTGTGTATTTGCCAGTGCGGCGATGACCCTTGATTCCGAGTAAAAATAATCGTGCCATAAAAACTCAAATGTGTCTACGTTATTATTACTGCAAACTCCAAATTTATACCTGTATATTTGGAGTTTGCACGTTATCCCCGTGGTCACATGGATTTTTCTCCGGTTCCTCCGGTTTTCCCCTGCACGTGTTGCCTCCAGTGAAGACTGGGTCTCCACTCATTACCACTACACATAAACAGTTTGTCATGGGACTGTGGGGCTATGTAGAAGGCAGTAGAGGGCAGTGCAGCAAATAACTGTTGTACTCTACCTCTGTGTTCCCACTTCTATGTTTCTCTCTTCACAAACGCGCATAGACAAGCGGTGGTGAAATTTGCTCCAATGACCCACGGCGTGGGTAGGTGCTCATCCAGCGGTGTATTTTCCGACAATAAAAGTATTAATTACGAATGTCTTTGTCTCCACCCGCCTCCCCTCCCCAGGGATTTATGCGCTACTTGGAAAAGATGTGTCCGGATCTCAAGCAGAAAGGAGTGGTGATCGGCCACGATGCTCGTGCTGATCCACTCAGCAATTCCAGTAGCAAAAGGTGCGATCACATGCGTGTGTGGTACGTGTCACCGCATCGCGCGCTTTCAGATGCGCTTCTGCGGCCATCTGGAACGCTCTTCCTTCCAATATTAGGAAGCCACTGGAGCTATGCACTTTTAAACCATATAGATTGGAAACTAGTTTCTTTGGAATTGCTTTCTGTGTTTAGTTCGTTGTCCTTCCCCCATTGTGAATGAGTGGTTGTCGTGGAGATGGTAGCCATGGAGAGAGATGGTGAATGAGTGGTTGCCATGGAGAGAGATTGTGAATGAGTGGTTGCCATGGAGACAGACTGTGAATGAGTGGTCGCCAAGGAGAGAGATTGTGAATGAGTGGTCGCCATGGAGACAGATTGTGAATGAGTGGTCGCAATGGAGACAGATTGTGAATGAGTGGTTGCCATGGAGACAGATTGTGAATGAGTGGTTGCCATGGAGACAGATTGTGAATGAGTGGTTGCCATGGAGACAGATTGTGAATGAGTGGTTGCCATGGAGACAGGTTGTGAATGAGTGGTTGCCATGGTGACAGATTGTGAATGAGTGGTTCCCATGGAGACAGATTGTGAATGAGTGGTGGCCACGGAGAGAGAATATGAAGAGGGGAGCAGGAACGGCGGTAGCGGTTATAAGGGGGAAGATCAATGAGTCGTGGGGTGAGCTTGGGGAAATGAAGTGAGTTTTGAGGGAGGCGTGGACACGATTGAGCCAAGATGTTGCTGCGGTTGTGTCCGTGACTCTGGCAGGTTTTCCCGGCTGGCAGCGGTGGTGTTTTTGAGCCAGGGAGTCCCCGTCTACCTGTTCTCTCAGATTTCACCAACCCCATTTGTGGTGCGTTCCATTTGGTGTGACACAAACACTCGACCGTTCGCAGCAGGCTGTTAACGCTGCCCCTACATGGATTACGTATCCCGATTTGAACCTTGTGTGCCGATGTCTTTTCAGTGCTCGTGAGGTTAATGATTCGTACGATATTGTTTTTATTCTTAGATATGTTTTGCTTTACGCATGCTACGTTAGCACCACCGGCACCGTTACCGTATTACGAGTCGAGTTCATGTTTCTCACGACTGTTCAACGAAATGCCATAATTCATTTTTACCAATAGGCGGCACAATATGCACCTCGAGCGGGGCTTGGCAACCTGTGGCTCTGTCAGGACTGCTTCGTGATGTTATCAAGGACAACCGTCTCGTGTTCACATGCATCGCGGCTCTTTAGATTTGTTTACCGAAGTCGAAAACAATGACCCCTGGCCTAGAGCATTTTCTAAATAGAGAAGGTTACATCAGACAGGTTCATGTTAAAACTTACGATGTTGAATGAATTTTTTTGTTCTTGTGCACACTCGTGTGAACGCGTCCAGCCGTACACGGTGGTGCACCTTGGTCTGTCTGCCGGCATCATGGTCACCGCCTCCCACAACCCCAAGCAAGACAATGGCTACAAGGCAAGCGCAGTAATTACGCTGTTGTAGGGCGTTTTAAAGTGGCAATGTGTTTTGTTGCTCGGCGGTGTTTACTCTGCAGCTCGACATTGAAACTTGAAAACGTCTCCATTGAGCCCCGTGTTTACAGGAAGAACGACTGGCTCCGAGTGACCTGTCTTTACGTTTTTACGTTTCCATGGTATTTGGAACGATTTAAATTGATATTTCGCGATGATTACTCAACTTTGAGGTGGAGCGGTAAGCTGTATATAATTTAATATTATGCTTCTATGAGCTCGGTGACCCGAGTTAAGTTCTTGGTCGGAGCTAAAATCGGTGGCGGGCGACATTCGAACCGGTCGTGGCCTCTCCTTCACTGACCCGCATTGACCAGCTTGGTGAAGTCTGGCTAAACAAACCCCCACGCCCTATGTGTGGTGTCGGGGATGCCCTCACCCAGCAGTGCCAGTTTGGCAAGCCCACGTGGATGGTTGTTGTTTTCCCCCTTGACGCCGGTCGTCATTGGGCAGGTGTACTGGAGCAACGGTGCCCAAATCATCTCGCCGCACGACACGGGCATCGCACGGGCCATTCAGGAGAACCTGGAGCCCTGGGAGGGGTCGTGGTTGGAAGCCCTGGCTGACACCAGCCCCCTCTGCAAGGACCCATTTGCCGACATCAATCGCGACTACTTCAGCGACTTGCGCAAACTCTGCTTTCACAGGTGCCGTTCTTTAGTGACGTGTCATTTAAATAATATGGTCTACTTAGCATGATATCAATAAGGAAACGCATCTTGTACTTCTTATATCCGTCTTCGCGACGGTTGGGGCACACGTGCCCCCCACTCGTGCTGCGTCGACGTTGCGATGCCTCGACGTTTTGTTTGTTCTGCGTTTCTTCCGTGCCCTGCTGCCGTTTCTTCTCGGGTCCGTTCTTTGATGTCGCTTGCCCAGCTGAAGCGCGGTTTCTGCCATGTCCTCTTGAGCCTTCTCCTAAACCCTCGAGCGACACGCACAGCGGCCTGTTCGCCGCCGCTCCCAGCTGGTTGTGCTGTCCGCCGCAGGTGAACTCAGCATTGCGGCGAAATAACCCTCGCGCACTCCGACGGCAATCGACAAAGCGGCAGTGCCCAAAGTCATTTGCGACTTTTACAAACCACTTTTTTGGTTTGTTTGCGTTAAGTGAACCGTCGGGAAAGCTGAGCTGCTCCTTTCTTTGCCGGGCAGGGAGCAGAACGAGTGCTCGCCCCTCAAGTTCGTGCACACGTCCGTGCACGGCGTGGGCCACGACTTCGTGCAGTCGTCGTTCGCCGCCTTCGGCCTCGCGCCGCCCATCGCCGTGGCCGAGCAGAAGGACCCCGATCCCGAGTTCCCCACCGTCAAGTACCCCAACCCGGAGGAGGGCAAGGGCGTGCTGGTACGCGGTGCCTTTGTTGACGCCGCCAGGGACGCTTCCCGAGTGCGAGGGGCGCCCGCACACAGCCGTGAGCCGTCCGCCGTGAGCCGTGAGCCGTGAGCTGTGCGCCGTGAGCCGTGAGCCGTGAGCCGTGCGCCGTGAGCCGTGCGCCGTGCTTTCTTTGTTAGGTTTTTTTTTAAGCCAGCTGGCCAGGATTGGGCACCCTGGCGAACTGGAGAGCACAGACAAAGTGCCACGAACCGAACATTAACACTAGCAATGTATGTATGTTGAACTTCTTTCACGCCGCACATAGCCAACCGTGCTATCACGGTTATGAGACAAATAAGATATATGCAATTAAAAAGCAGAATTAAAGTTAAAAAAAATACTTAATTCTAGACTAAAAGCTTTCGTGACTGCAGGAATTCATATTCTTTGGGTCTTTCAGGCGAGTAGCACCAATTATTTTGATTATTTTATCTATCTACGTGGCTTTATCGAAAGACCCAAAGAATAAAAATACTTGATCTCATCTGGTCCTCGAACTATCTGGGACACATCACACCAGGCTGTGACTTTTAGTACCACATATTACCCCCGGGGTTCCCTACCGTGGAAGCAAATAATACCGCTTCCACAATGCACCCACGTGAACCCTTGTGAGAAAAACACATTGTCCTGCGGAGCGAGCTGGTAGGAACGTTGGGTTGCTCGGTCAATGGCCAGGGTCAACGGCGGCGTGGTGTATTCCGCAAATTTGCCCGACTGTGAGGGCGGTCACAAGCCGGCGTGAGTAGGTTAAACGTTGAGTTTTATAAGGGCACCATGGGGTGACCAGCCCCTCCCCACCCAGCCCCACCCTCCCCACCCAGCCCCTCCCCACCCTCCCCTCCCCACCCAGCCCCTCCCTGCACGACGGACGGACACAATAATCCCCTGTGGGCTGGTGTAACCAGGAGGTTCCTACCAGTATAAGCCAGGGCCTGGATAGTAATGTTTTGATTCGCTGATGAGGAAGCACTTGTGGGGTGGCAGCGGAGGTCTGACTAGGAGCCTGGATGAACGGCACTCCCGACACTTGCGAATGATCTTGACAATTTACAAATTCCTGCCAGCATAAACATTGGAAGCCCAAATAATAGTGTTGGTTGATTGACTATTTACTTTGAAACACACTGATTCAATTGCAGATGTACGTGTTCGCGTTATGTTTTGGGAAATGCGTGCATGCATACGTACATATACTTTACGTTGGTGTTCTACATTGAAATCTCGGATTTATTTTCTTTGCTTGCGTACGTTTCGTTGGCGTTTTGATTTTTATCAGAATTTGGCGATAAAGCTGGCGGAGCGAGAGGGGGCGCGAGTGATCCTCGCAAACGACCCTGACGCGGACCGTCTGGCCGTGGCCGAGCGGCAGGACGCGTGAGTTGTGCACTTCACTCGTAGAGACAAAGATCCCCTCCGGATAGCCTTAACACACTGTTGGGGCAAGTGCTGTTAGCGAGTAGCACCTATGAAGTCCGGCACTGGCACACGAGGGGGTGGGTGACCAGCACCACACCCGGCCACCTTTGTCTCCCCAGTGGTGAAGTTTACACACCACACCAGGTACTGATTTGAGGCGGCTATCCTGCCATGAACACAACGGGCACTGGACCCCTGCCGCACTTCCGCTTGGCACGGTTGGCTGCATACGGTGCGAGTCCACCGTATATACTGCCAGTAGCTGCCCGTAGCTGCCCGTAGCTGAGCGTAGCTGTTAGAGGTCTGCAGAGTCTGTATTCTGACTGTTATCTTTCTCTTGTTCTCTTTCTCCTCATCTCTTTGTCCTCCCAACAGTAAGTAAGTAATATTTTCGTCTCACGTTTTTGTTTTGTGTATTTTCACGCTGACTTAACGCCTCATCTCTTTCATTTGTGTTTTGTTTTTGAGCTTCACGAGTGTCATGCTTACTCTTCACTTCAAATGGCTAACATCGCAGACAGCGCAGGTTATACAGTATTCGAAACGCATAATTCTTATTAACGTTAAATAATTCAAGCATTGCATCTAGGCATAAGGTTTTCCTTTTCACCCAATTTTAATACGACGTTGTTGTCAACCTGAGAAATCCCACTCATGGTTAAAGGCCTCTCACCTTTGCTTCCATTCATTCCATCCTCTGTTCAACATCGTGCTATGTGACTGTGCGTTCCTGCATGTAAAGCGGTGTGTTTGGAAGTGCACATGTACGTGTTTGTCTGTCTGCACCAACTTTGTCCTTGATAGAGGCACGTGCGCAGTGCGTGCCCGCATCAGCCGTGTGCATGCTAGCCATGTGCATGCTAGCCATGTGCATGCTAGCCGTGTGCATGCTAGCCGTGTGCATGCCAACCGTTGCGACCGGTTAACCCCCAGCACCTCCTCGGTCTTTCCAAGCTTTCGACAACACTTTTCACGTCGCCTTAAAGCGTACTTTGCCTGGCACAAGCGCCGTGGTGACATCGCCGCCGCTTTAGTGGCCTCTTGTGGCAGTCATCGCCGTTGTCTCGTTGTGCCCCAGTGGGGACTGGAAGGTGTTCACGGGCAATGAGGTGGGAGCGCTGCTCGGGTGGTGGCTCTTCTACTGTTGGAAGGAGCGCTCGCCCCCAGGCACTCGCGCGCCCCTGGACCGCATCTCCATGCTCTCCAGCACCGTCTCCTCCAAGATCCTGCGAGCCATCGCCCACAAAGAGGGGTTCCACTTCGAGGCAGGTCTACGTGGCACACGCGCCCCAGTGCACGCGCACCCCAACGCACACAGACCACACTGTAGAGCAATGTTCTTCACTCATTTTCAGAGGTCACTTTCGCCGGTAAGACGTCAGTGTGAGGGCCGCCACCCAGTTGAAACCATTGGGGTTTGACAGCACGATGATTATGGTGTTTTCACACGTTGTGTTTTGTCGGGGGCCGCACGTCACGAGCCGCACTAAAGGGGCCACCAGTGGCCCGCGGGCCTTCCAATGAAGAACACTGCCCTACAGACTCAAACCCAGGCCTTAATACGTGTGTACATGTACACACACCGATTGTCAGTCCACCGCTTATAAAGGTTTACCCCCCACCATACACTGTTTGTAGTGGAGGTTATGTGATCATACTTGAGCACGCTGGTCAGTGTGGGTGGTTGAAAGCTGCGAGCGTTGCAAGGTGGTCACCCATCCAGTCTTTAATGCTCTTTAGCCACCTGAAGCTGACAAGATCGGTGCATGCTGGGATGATTTGGTGATGGGGCCTATTTACATCGTATCCCAAAATTGCATAAATGAACATCATAAAGATTTAATTTAAATTGTCATCCCAATTTATTGTTGGATCAACGCTGGGCACCTTTCAACTTGCTGCTCTTCACTGCTCCCACACTTGTCCTCTGCACCCATCCCGGCCTCAGGAGACACTCACCGGCTTCAAGTGGATGGGCAACCGTGCCAAAGAGCTCATGGACCAAGGCAAGACCGTGCTGTTTGCCTTCGAGGAGGCCATCGGTAAGCCTACGTCGCCACTCTCGCGTTTCTCCTCGCAAGCTGTGCTGCTCGCGAGGCCTCTCTGCCGTCTGGTGGCGGAGCGAGACAAGTCGGTCAGGAGGTTCCGTGATGACGGGGGCGATCGCCGTGTGTGAGCGCAGGGTTCATGTGCGGCACCACCGTTCTCGACAAGGACGGCGTGAGCGCGGCGGCTGTTGCGGCCGAGATGGCGATTCACCTCGCCACCAAGAAGCTAACGCTTACCAAACAGCTCACCCTCATCTACGAGGAGTATGCCTGCCACTTTTGCACCCATAAACCATCAACATAAATCATCATCATGCGAACTGCGGTCATCTTGGCTAGCCATGGAACAAAGACGGTTACCGCATTGCACACTTTCAGATGCGCTTCTGCGGCCGTCTGGAACGTTCTTCCTTCTGACGTTAGGAAGCCACTTGAGCTATACACTCTGAAATCTAGATTGAAAACTAATTTCCTGAACTGCTTTTTGTGTTTATTTTGTTGTCCTTCCCCCACACCTCCCATTAGCACGGTTGGCTACGTACAGTGTGAAATAAGTTCAATATAATACATACGTAGCTAATGTCACAAGTAATGCTTTTCAATACGTAGTGATCTATAATTATATACTTGTGTGAATATATGCTGTGTTTTCTTCGATGCACAAATGTACATATTGTACCTTTATTCTGGGCAATGGGTTAAATGTAATTATTTATCCAGGACAGGCTCACTGACTAAAATTAACTGTAATACGGTCGGAGGAAGCGGTGGCACAGCGGTTCATCCACTGTGCTATGTTACCTGAAGCCATAGCTAACACCAGCAAAGAGTGATATTTGAACCAGTCCTGAGTCCTACCTTCACCAACCCATGCTGATCAACTGGATGAAGTTCAGCAAAAAGACGACCCCATGGCTGATACAACGTTGGGAGGCCTGAATCCAGCTGATTGTAATCCAAGTGTGGTTTTTATGTGTCGGGCTCTATATCGAATTACTCTTTCTTCCACACTTGAATTTTTGAGCATTTATTTGTTGAGTCTTTTTTTTTACATCGGAGTGCAACTCGTAGAATTACTACTCGTCGGTCCGAGCCCTCGGCCACCCCGAACGCGTTCTCTACGCCTCCTCATAGACCCCCGTTATCGCGCGCGTGCAGGTACGGCTACCACATCTCGCGCACCTCCTACTTCATCTGCCACGAGCCACCCACCATCATGCGCATGTTTGAGCGCCTTCGCAACCGGGCAGGCGCGGAGGAGCAAGACGGCGCGAGCGGCGGCGGCGGCCGGGCGGCGTACCCCACGCGCTGCGGGCCCTACGAGATCGCCCACGTGCGGGACCTCACCACGGGCTACGACAGCACCCAGGCCGACAAGCGCGCCGTAAGCCTCGCACGCGCTTCACCACCGCTCCACCGGACGCCTGCTGCTCGCGATGCCAAACGGTGGGGGGATTTCCCCCCCCACCGACCCTGTGACCAAACTCTCAGAATGTTGTCCCAATGTGGTCGGATCGCGGAGACTAAGTGGGGATAGCGCTTGGGTGTGTGGCCGCCACGCGTAACCGGGTGCGATAGGCTGTGTGGCTCCGTTGTGGGCAGCAGGGGGCAGCGAAGCAGGATCCATTACTGTACAGTACTCGACTCGTATGCTCCCCCGCCTTGCACCGACCAACAAACCTCAAGACTGAAGGCAACGTGGAAAGGCCTTCATCCAACAGCGGGGTTTGGCAAAGGGACCGTATAATACTCTCGTTCAAACTTGTTGCTTGGATTGCGCCACCGCGTTGTTGTTGTTGTTGTTGCACAGCTGTTGCCGAGCAGCAGCAGCAGCCAGATGATCACGTTCACCTTCGCCAACGGCTGCGTGGCAACGATGCGCACGAGCGGCACGGAGCCCAAGATCAAGTACTATGCCGAGATGTGCGCTACGCCCGGCAAGAGGTGACCGCTTGCACACGCACACACGCACTCGGCTTGCCGAATGCACAGCTCACACGTAACCGTGCGCTTGCAGGTCCTACTGACTCGAGCAACAGGCTGCCGATTTGTAATCCGATTTGTAATCCTTTATACCGCGTAGCGATTTTCGAACGGTCGTATCGCTTTGTACAATTTTTGTCAGGTGAAAATAAGAAAATTGCAAAGTTTGCTTTTGATGACAGAATGAGGTGGGAGCATTAATGGGAAGGGTGAGCAGGCATGGTGCTGCCCCAGTGTTTGCTACTTTCATGGTGGCTGCCTCCTCCTACACAGACCCTCTTCATTGACAGCTTTCTCATGTAGCCTCAGCAGGAGCCATTGTTTTGTTCGGCAGAAATACTACTAGGCGACGTTACCGGTATTTTTCCATTAATGGGTTTCATCCGTGCAAGCTTTTTTGCCCATGGGCTGTAGTTTGTGCATAATGGCATCCTAACGTAATCTTCTTATTCTCGAGCACTAAACATAATTTACAAAGCCGTAACGGAAATTGAGTGAGTTCGATGGCAGGGGCGTGCAAGGGCCGAGGAATAACCGTGACAGAGGGCGGCACGTAGGGTCACGAAAGGGCAGGGGAGGGACGAGATGGAGTGGAGGGGGGGATGCACGGATATAATGTAAAGTCATTTTTGAAAAATGCAAAATCATCTCGAATGGGCATTGTGTTCTCATCGTGCTGGCATCACGTCAGTTGAAATTTTTAAATAGGGCTATGTTCGTTTTGGTTTTATTGTGATGTATTTCTGTCTTGATGCGGTTTTGGGTTGAACCGCATGTTGTTTGAGCATGGTGTCCGACGTTTCGCTGCACGCGCTGGGAGCTTCTTCAGCAACATAACAATACAGCGCACCAGAGAGCGATATATGGCGCAACCGCAAAAACCCCACGCAGTCGTATTATTATTATTGTTGTTGTGTCATGGGTGAAACTTTTGTTTTGCAGAGACACGGTTGGTCTGGCCAAAGAGCTGGATGACTTGATAGAAGCCATGGTGGAGAACTTCTTCCAGCCAGAGAAGAACAGTTTGATTCGACGTGCGGCGTGAAGAGGCGACTGCCGTTTCCACAACGACCACCAAGACCACCACGTCCTCCCAATTCCAGAAAGCATTGACACATGCTTGCCGGTGTCGCAGTTTGGCACGCTCGCTTGCAAAGCACATTTTTGTTGTTCACCAGTTTATTTCCCAAGATTTAATTACGTACTGTAATGCAGTAAGCACCTTGGGCTTTTCGTAGTGGCAGCGTCTGTTTAAAAGAGGCACTGCAATCAAGCTGACGTTAATCCCAAGTCTTATCTTAGCTTTTTAAGTTTAAAGCTTAAGGTGCAGCGACTAAGTTGTCTGGTTTTTCAGTAAATTGAGAAACCGCACGTATCATTTCTACAAAACAGGGTGAGTAGTTAGGTCGCGTAAGCCCTCCAAAGACTCCACAGCATTTGTGCATGGACATTGCGCTTTACGTGGCAAATCTGCCATTTTGATTTAATTTATCTTTAACTCGAGTTTGTGTTTATTTGAAAGAGGTATATATAATAAAGCAGTTCACACTACACGATTAGCAGCTTAGTCTGCATCAACATCGGTATTCTGGTCAGCCACTGGTCCAGTTGGTTACGAGATGAACAACTATTTCACGTCGATTTGTGTTTACTTGACTGCAAGCTCTTGTCCACGTAACGTTTTGCTGTGCGCGCGTGTCGAGCGCACTCCCAAGTCTTGCGCTCTTGGGTTTTTCGTTTTGTTGAGCCATGTGCACACCAACAGTTGTTCACTGGAGGCAAGTGGGTGGTGCGTTTCACGTTTGCACCTTGAAACCACCGACATGGTTTAAATTTGTTTTAATGTAACGTTATGTACGATGTGCCCATGACTAGCTTCATTACAAATCGTCAATTTCAACTAATTTCACCCCACTCTTTCACTAAGGTGGTGGCTTGCAGTGTAAAGCAAGTTAAAACGCAGATGTCGCATTAATTTAAACAAATGTGCACTGGCTTATATGGAGAAGAGCCACCTGGTTAAAATAGCATTAGAATATCGTTTATAGTAATAATAAAAAACAGCTGCGATGTTGCAGCGTTCGTTTGTGGCAGCACCTGGTTTTGTGACCAATTTGAGCCATTTTGAGAAGTCTTAACCGGTTTCCTCTGAACTCCATCAGATTTGATCGCCTGTTGACGTCGTCTTCATTTGTAAACTGCCATTTGGGGGTCATGTCCAAGATGTGTTAAGAAAAATAAAAAAAAATATCGGTGACTGAATATGCTTGGGTTTGGCTGTTTTCATTGTAAGTGAAACAAATATATCCACCTGCACAGAAAGCTGAACTCTGTAAAATATCTCAAGTCGCCACATCAAAGACGACACTGCCTTGAAAGGAACAACATTGGCAACGTGTGTTGGCAATGGCCATTTTCAAATTGCCACACTGCCTGGTAATGCCGTGTTATTGACGAATGCGAGTTTAGTTCTTTGTGGATGTGCACCGCCAAGGCAGCAACACCAAATGATGTTTCTTGTGGTGTGCATTCTCTCAGCGTCTGGTTTTATTTTGCGTTTATATTACCATATGTGCACACATCTAATTTCCTTTGTCCAAAAAGTTAAAATGCACTCTGTTTCCTTCAAGCATATTGTATGCAAGTGGGGAAAATGGTGACCACCAACACAACACCCTGTGTGTTTGATTTTTACGGGTTTGAATTGCCGGCGATGTTGTGATTCAAGGCTGCAAGCATTCGAAGCTTGCGAGTCGTGACTTGCGGCTGGCTGTAAAAACTGCATTATCTCGTGTGACAACAGGTAATGCGGCATTCTTCTACCGATTTATAACATTGTGAAGGTGTCTGCACTACACCTGCTGGGAAGTCGAGAGCCTGCGCCCTTACAATCATGAGTGGTACACGGTCTGCAACTGTACGGTATTCCTCCAGAAAGTAAACGGAAGCAAATTGCAAACGCAGTTTTTTAATAACTAAAAATACAAGCACATACTAAGCACTGTCCCGTTAAGGTTTTGCATCTAAAATTCATTTTTATACAATTTACAAGTAAAAAAAAACACTCATAATTTGTGCGTACTCAATCCAGTTTTGGCAATGGCAGTCATTCCCCACTAACACCAAATGAGTCCAAGACAGCTGTTCAACGCTGCACCCTTTATCCAGTGTAGTATACAATTTCTGTTTGACACATTACAGCTATTGGAGAGACACCATTTTAATACATTAACCAGAAAAAAAAAACACCTTAAATGGGTTTCAGGTTCGTGTTTACATTTCAGCCACTTATAATATTTTGGCCAAAAGCAGTGAATTTAAATACTTTAAGCATTTAGAATGTGTGCGTACTCGATGCATTTCAGGTAATGGCACAGCAAGAAAAGTAAAATTTCACCAGAGCACCACACGATTCCTTGCGTTCTGGACAGCTGTTGACTGCTGAAATTGTCTTGTATACAATTGCACAGCTTTTGACATTCCAGGTATTGGAGACCATATTTTAATAGTTAACCAAATAAAAATGTTTTAAGTGCATGGATCAAGTTCAGTTCACTTGTAAAATCATCACCAACAGCGGCTCATGTTGATATTTGTTTAGATCCCCTAAAAGAACATGCTACAATCGGAACACACGCGGCAGTGGTGTTTTGGTGACCAGGTAATTGAATTTAAAACTGGTGGCTACAAATGTTACATCCTAAACCTCTTTTCCACGGTAAAATAAGTGAACCGCACCTGGGCTGTACCGAAGCAGACCGCAGTGCCGGGTTGTTATGACGTCATAGCTAAGCCGTGGGCGATGATGACGTCACATGTAGATGAGCTGACGCGGTTGTCCTCTGTGTACCGTGGTGGCGTGAAGAACTCATCGTTAGGCTCCTTGCTGGCCCTGTTGGGCCACCCAAGCCATCCGTGCGTAGCGCTGGCTCGGCTCGAATGCTCCAGTGGACAAGGGATTATTTCTAGACTCCACCCCCCACTGCCCACGGGACTTGCCGTAGGCCCCCGAGCGCAAGGTGGTGCGAGGCAGCGCCGACGTTCGGGTCTTCTCCGTCAAGCAGCAGCAGGCTGTCGAGCCTGCCGCTGCTCAGAGACACGGGCAAGCGCGCGCCGTCCACCCACACGGGCAGTGCGGAAAACCCACCACGGCCACCACCAAGGTGGCGCGGAGGGAAGAGAGCCGGAGACGATGCAACACTTCGCAACCGCGCAGCAACCTCGTTGCCACGAGCGACGGGCAGGGCGCCCTGACCTGCACAACGAGGGGACCACAAGTCGTGCCAAGGTACAACAGGGCGAGTTGGGCCACATATACAGAAAGTGTTTAAATTGGTTTGTCGTCACCCTTAGGCAGTGCCAAACTGTCGCCAGCAGGGTGATGAGGGAGGCTTTGCCCACAAAAAGCTCCTCGGACACAAGGCAATGATAGTCCTACTGTATTGGGGATTCGTAACCACAAAGAACTGGTGTGTAGCGGTCATCGTCCTGCTGCTGCTGCTGTATGAAAGAATATGGCACCACTTGTACTCTTTTAAGTTTGTGGTCTGAAAGAAAGCTGTGTGCGTTACACACTCAGTATGGTGATGTCACGTGATGTGCAAGTTATGTTGGGAGGACCGATCCAAAGGTCTCAATCATACTTTTTCTGTTAGTAAATCACCGATTGCGTATAGCCGTTTACTCTTACACTCATACCTGTTCCATGGTTTGCAGTATGCCCGGCCCCGAGCAATGCCTCTGGGTTTCCGGCAGCTGTTGACAATGATTCATGAGCGTCTGCTCCTCTCTCATCAGGCAAGGCTGGGTTGGTTCCTTCAAACACAAACACAGCCAGAGGACAAGAATACAACTGATATGTGGCGGCATCGGTACAATCCCACGTTTATGGCAGATGCATATTAAAACTGGAAACGAGTAGCTGCAGGCCGCGCGTGGGTCAGGCCTGCACCTCCGATGTCTAGCAGCTGGAAGACGATGAGGTTGTGCTGTGCATCGGGCTGTCCTCTCTCGGCCGCCCGCTCGTACCAGCTCCTGGCGGCCACTAAATCCACCTCCACGCCCCACCCATGCTGAAGGCAAATGCCCAGGTGGTGCATGCTGTCCACGTCCTGAGGCACAAAGTAGTAATCCATTGTTATTGTTTGTAAAAACAAGTTCACATTGAATAGTTATTTTGTTCAACATTCATCCCCACGCATAGTCAGCAATGGGCCATTGCACCAAACATGTGACCTCTTGCGACAGCATTCGCATCAACTGCTCCTGCTGCTGTACCGGCGTCTCGATTGATTTGTTTGATCCACGTATCATGGGGGAGGGGGCCATTCCTTGGAGGGTCGCAGTCCACCTTTGAACATCGACCGCCAATTGTAGTGCGCAATTAGTTGCTGGAGTTCGCGCATCGAGACGGGGCGACGGGTCCAATAAGTGAGAGCGGTCTCCCTCGAACTAAGCTCTCGATCACTCGGAGACCCCGTCATGGATGTCACTTTGCCCCGGTTTTGTCCCGACTGAGCTATTCCACTACATGAAGTATCAACTCAGATCTCTCTCGCAGCAATGCAATTCTACATGTCAAAAAATAATGATAAAACACAGCCCATGGAAGCAGATGTAACAGAGCTACCTCTGAGAGCCAATCAAATGAGCAGCCCGTCAATCTTGCGCAATGCTGAAAGACCAAAATAAAATGGACCTAAGATAGCGCATCTGGCCATGCAGTCTTATCACTGCACTTGGCTGTCTACCAGTCACAGGCAGTGTTTTTGTTTTCTAAGGTAAGTTTATTGCCACGTAATGGTGACAACGTTCAGGGATTACTTGACTACAGGGGTACTACGATTGTTGCCAAACGGATGATGTGCATTGTCAAGCAGGGGGGGAAATTAGTGCATATATATCTAAATGATCACAATGAACTTTGGACCTATAAATAAATGTTGTTATAGCGCTTACCTCCTGTTCTGCTGCCATTTTCAAGAATTTGACTGCTTTCTTGTAATCCTTGTGCGGCGCCTTTGTATAATAAACACCAAGATACGACTGGGCCTAGTGGTGACACATAAGAAAGAACAATTTTTTACGTATTTACACACGATACATTAAGCGTCAACACTGGAAGCAACAATGCACAAAGGGGGGGGTGGGGGGGGTTCCCGTTCACCGCGCGGAAAGAGGGCGGCTATGCGAAGCGAGCGGCCACCTCTCTGAGTCCACCGTGAGCAGCTTGCACGAGCAGCTGTTCGACGGCGCCGGCGTTCTCTCCGCTGTTCTTCTTCAAGAACATCGCGAGGTTGTACTGCGCCATCGCGTGGCCCTGCGCCGCTGCGTGGGCGAAGTACATCGCAGCCTGGTGCACAAGAACACAGCCGACATGTGGTGCGAAAGAAGGTCAACATACATGTAAATACATCGCTAAACATGAAGTTTTTCTACCCAAGGTGGTACCAATTTCTACTCTGGCCCATGGACTCTTGCGGAGGTGCACATTGTATGTACATATTCTGAACTTCTTTTGCACCGTACGTAGCCAACTGTGCTCATTGGAGGTGCGGGGAAGGACAATAAACTGTTCACAAAAAGCAGTTTGAAAGAAGTGAGTTTTCAATCTCAATTTAAAAGTGAGTAGCTCAAGTGGCTTGGCATTCCAGATGGCCGCAGAAGCACATCTGACAGTATTTGTTCGATGGCTAGCCAAAATCCACTGCGAGGGTGAACAGTTCATGTGATGGTTTATGCTCCTTGACGACATCAGCAAGGTGTTGTGGTTCCTTTGTGGCAAGCACTTTAAGTGTAGTGAGTGTGAGCTTACAATAATATTACACATAAACTTGCACCACAGCCGGACTGGAGGATAGTGGCCCGACGTTGATAATCGCATTTATAGATGTATCACCATTGTCAACCGATATTAGTCACACTGCGATTACGATTCATTACGTATCACACAGCTACAATTGTAATTGACCGGAGTTCCTTTTATGGCTTCTCAGTTTATAATTTAAAACAAGGGTGAGGGGGGAGGGAACCTTTCCATTTGGCCCGAATAGGAATTCAAAATATGTTTAACAGGCAACATTCTCGATATATTTCTGTCCACTGCAAAAGACCTTTGCAGAGAGAAGTGACCGAGCATGCTGGAATTAGAAACACAGTGTTGCCAGTTTTAAAAAAATCCCCTCTTGCACCGTATTGTCGCTGCAGGCATCTCAGCTGCACTACACAGATATCAGTGCAGGCTGTTTAAACGATAAAAAGTG